CTGTGGAACTACTGCAATATATATATATATATATATATATTATTTCATTGCTTTGGTGATATTGATACATTTTCACGAATCAAACGTTGCGAATATTACTCTGTGAGTTGAAAAATTGAAATAGTTTTGTAATTTATTTGTCTTTAATTTAAGAATACTTCTCAGTTTAATTATTTTTAAATGTATGCAAATTTATTATTTTCTGCTTTTTTCTTTGACAGTTAATGATGCATTTTAAGGATACATAATTTTATCGTAGATAGGTAGAATAATTTTTTAACTTTAATTTATAAACTACACACGAGCAATAAATACTTAAACGTAAAATATTTAATCCTTTGGAGAATGTTTAGGAAATAATGATATTAATTAATAAAAAGAAAAAAATATTCAAATATTTTAGTTCAAAATTTTCAAATTTAATTTAAAATTCCATCTTTTAAGACAGATTAAATAAACTTGTAATAATAAAATGGCACTCATTGTTCCTGTATAAAAAAAGCTGCATTAAATTTATCTTGTAAAAAATGTATTTGTAAAATAAAATTATCCATGTAATGCTGTCACAAAATTCACCTGTAAGTGTTTAATTGTTATGTGTTACTCATTAAATTTAACCTTCTATTAAATTTATATATTCAATTTATCTTGTATCAAATTTCTGTATTAAATAAGTTTATCCACGTGAAGCATTCCTAAAATTGACTTAAAAATCATAATTATTTGATAAATTTCCCCTGTAGGTGCTTAATTTTTATATGTTACATATTAAATTTATATTGTATTACATTTATGTGCAAAATAAATTTATCCACGTAATGCCGTCACTAAACTGACTTGAAAGTTATAATTAATTCATCAACTTTACCTGTATGTGGATGTAATAGCGTTTTTTGGAAAATTTTGGAAATATACGGAGTTTAACCTAAAAGCCAGTGAGAGAGTGGTTCTAAATCTTACCTTGACTATTCCTGCTGCTTAGGTAGTCATCTTTACAGATGAACCTATTTTCGTCCAGTACATAAAGTTCTTCTCCAGTTGATAACTGCTTTCTACAGACGAGGCATGTAAAGCATTTCAGGTGAAATACTTTATTCCTCGCTCTTCTAACTAGATCTGTTGGAGATATGCCCTGCGCACACCCCGAACATTTTGTGCCGAAACGCCTGCAAGAAAAAGATATTAAAATTAGATCAATAAATTCAATAGACTTTATATTTAAAGAATGAAAATAATCATATTTTTTATTGATTGCAAAATTTCCCGCACATTAACTAAGTTTTTTATGGATATTAACATTATTATTTATTTAGTTTAGTATTTAATGTATATATTTTTTGTTTAATTTTTTAAAATCTATTTTACATCGCAGATACAGCTATTTTTATGTAGAATAAGGTGTCATTTTTCGGGTTTATATTTTACTCGATTACAGATATTTTACGTGATTAACGATGACTCTTGGGATTAGAGCAATTTCAAGGAAAACTTTCTAAGGGAAGCTAACATGCAATTGCAAAAAAATGGTGAGAAAAATTAGGAAATCCTTCCGAGGTCAGCCCTAGTGATCCAAACTTATCATCTGACCCCCATTGGTAATATTTTAATACGTCACTTAACACTGTAAAAAAATTCCGGATCAAATTACGGAGCAAAGTACCGACACTTTGGGTGCATTATCCGTAAAATTCATTTTACCGTTAATTCCTTTTTTACAGTAATTTTTACAGTGATATTAATTTAATTAAAAGGATTCAGTGATTTTACGGTAAAATGTACTGGTACTATATATATATATATNATGTATGTATATATATATATATATATACATATATATGATAATAATAATAATAAAGGACGATTTAAGCTTTTAAACATTGTATCATGCTTAATCTAATAATCCTCCACAAACAAAATGGTTTTATTTCGTATCACTATTCTAAAACATCTTCAATTCATCAAATAAGGAGCGAAGAATATAATAGTATTTATTGTTTATAAATTAAACCTCGAAGTTACAAAGTTGCCAAATTCCTTTTCTTTTATATAATGACCACTCACAAATTCGGTGATTCTAAATGTTATGTTTTGATGTATGAAAGTGAAGCGAATTTCATTTCAACGGTGATCCTATGAACGGTGGGACAGAGAGGAGTTTTATGTAAATATGGTGCACGTTCCTGACAGGTCCGGATCTGCAATCAGCGTAGGGTGTTGTCAGCATCAGAAGAAACGTTGATGTGACCCCCTGGTGAACCTGCGCCACCCTTCTGATGAATATGCAATTCTCGTTCAGATGAAAACGAATCCCGGAAACTTCTTCTTATCAAAGAGATGACCAGAGGATCATGGTTTTCATTTCATTTCAATTTTTGATGACATTTGATACCAAAAACCCGAGGGGAGAATTTTTGTTTGATGATGTTATTGAGAATTGTTTTTGTCTGGTATAGTGGGGTTTTTAATTTAATGAATCCATGTACTTTATAAAAGACTCGAGCAAGATAGAAAACAAATCGAAAATGTTTATATCTTGTATAGTGGGTTTTTTACTAGAATGCAATCATGTACTTTATACAAGATTTGCGCAGGATAGAAAATAAATCGAAAATGTCTACGTCTTATATCGTGTGGCTTTTACTAGAATACAATCATGTACTTTATACAAGATTTACGCAGGATAGAAAATAAATCGAAAATATCTACGCCTTATATCGTGTGGTTTTTACTAGAATGCAATCACGTACTTTATACAAGATTTGTGCAGGATAGAAAAAAATCGAAAACGTCTATGTCTTACATAGTGTGGTTTTCACTAGAATGCAATCATGTACTTTATAAAAGATTTGTGCAGGATAGAAAACAAATCGAAAATGTTTACGCCTGGTGGGGTGTAGCATATTAATTTTTTTATATGTTATTTTACTTTATTTTGATTTTGAATCCACATAAACGAGACCATTTTCGGAACTATAAATGAAATCAAATTGTTTTGCATTGCATTCAAATGGTCTTTTAGACTGCAAAAAAGCAGTTGCGCTACGAAATGCGACCATAATAGTTTAAAGCTAATGGAATAAGAGCCGCTTATGTAGCAGCATTGTGAAAATATTTGACGTAAGGAACTAAAGATAGGGAATACTTGGAATATCGCAAATAAACAGTGCTATAACGACGAGTGTCTGATAAAATTGATATAGGAAGGAAAAGAAAAAAACGCAGAGAAAACAAACAGAGCAACAGGTGTTTTAAAATGTATGTTCTTAGTTTTAACGTCTACAATTACGGATAAAATTACAATATAAGGTACCGGCACTTTTGGTGCATCATCCGTAAAATACATCTTACCGCAACATATATTTTTACCGTAAAATAGTATACCGTAACTTTTACAGTAATATTTATTTAATAAGAGTGATTCATTGATTCTACGGTAGTTATTACCGTAAAAATTATGGTATATCAGATTTTTTTTTGTTCTGTATCAAGTAGAGGTAAAAATGGTTTTACGGTAAAGCTGAATTATTGCAATTTAATTATGATTTTTTACAGTGTACCAGCCACTGAGCCCATAAGCAATAGTATTTTATAAACAACTTTCATGATTAAAATGACTAATTCAAGGAAAAAATCTTTTGTTTACGAATTAATAATATTTAGAGTATATGAAACAGGAAGATAATGTAGGAAAAACTGTACTTTAATAAATGAGCTAACATTCAGTTCATATTCTGTCTAGACTGAATCCTATGAGCTTAGGACTAGACAGAAAACCAGCCAGAGTTAAGGAAGTAGTTATACACTTAAGAAAAAAAATTATGAAAGCATTAAAGTAAATGTATCGACATTAAATAGTAAATGGAGTTTCATTATTTATGTTGTGGTTAAAAGGAAATAAAGAGACTTAAAAAATATTTATTAAATCACATTAGTTTGTTTGTTTGTCGAGGGTGAGGAAAGCAACAACTTTACTGTTTCATAAAATAGAATTAGTGGTTTCCGTTCTTTTGTGAAAATTAAATTGATAATGTAAAATTTATATAATTACGTCCTTTTTAAAACGGGAAGTTAAACTTTTATCCAACCTATGCGCTCGAAAAAATATTTAAGGAAAGAAGTTTTTTTATTAACTGCAAGAGAGAATTAAATTTAGTTTTCTTAAAGCTAAAATTGGAAATATCTTCAACTAAACCTTACAAATTAAGATTTCTAGCGAATAAAAAAATTTTTTTGACAGTTATTTAACACTGTCAAAGACCGTTTTTTAACACTGATAATTAACACTGTTAATTAGCACATTATTAAATAAACGTTTTGACAGTTATTTACCACTGTTTAGATTAAAAGACTGAATTTTTCTCTCTTAACCATTCTTACTGAAAAATATCAACTATTATACATTAGTAGACAAAAAATAAGATTCTTAGTTAGGATTCAAAATAATTTAAACCAAAGCATTCACAAAGAAACAAAAATTAATGTTTTATGAAAATAGGGAAAAATTGCTTATTTAGAGTTCATTGCACTTTTGTTTGACATAAGGGTTGAATTTTTTTTGTTGTATTTGCATACAAATAAAAACTTTTGATATTTTCTACATATCGTTACAAATGGAGTAAATAGTTCTTATAATACAGAGTAGACATATTCAATGACATTTTTATCGTCAATTAAGAGCGGATTTTTAATTAGAATTTATGCTGATACTACAGATTAAATTATAAGTATTATGCTGTCATTACAAATTAAATTTTAGAAATTAGAATTGCAGTTGTTTACTAACTGTAACTTTATTAGAATATTATAAATTCAAAATTAATATTAGAAAGAGTTTCGTTAACGTTTTCATTTCTTGTTTTAGAAATTTTATTTTCTCATTAAATTAGAATCTATGACAGAACTGTCAAATATTTTTTAAATTGGATATTAAAGCATATAAAAAAATTTTTCTGAAACACATGTAACTACTTTACAGAATTGAAAAAAAATGTTCTTTTTTTTCACCAGCCTAATAAGTCATTTTCTCAGGAGTTTTCTTACTTACTAGTCATACCACAACTATCTTGGCTAGATTTTGCCGCTTTTCACAGCTCAAAAAAGCGCAATCGTGTGATTTAAAAAAATGCACGATTAAAAAACTGGCGATTATTCATCTAGTGACACAGCATTGGCGAAAATATTCCTGTTTTTTATCATTACTCAGGGTTGATTTTACGTGCCGAGAGGTCTGCTACGTTGTTTTCATTTGTCAGCTTACCCCCCTTCCCCAAGAAGCACGCGACTCAAACTTTGTCTAGTTGGCTCACGCTCTTTGGCGAGTTTTCTCTGCAGAGCACGCTCGTGTGACACGACCACGAGGACAGGAGAAGTGTGTGGTCACGCGAAATGTCCAAAACGCACGAGATCCGCAATAAAACACCAAAATGCGCTAACGACCTGATGCCACAGTTAACAGCCACCACCATTTGGTTTGGAAAACAGATGGACTCCCCTAGACTCGGACGAAGAATGCATCATTGGCGTGAGAATGTGCAATTTCGCTGCTACATTTTTAACAAGCCTCGAAAAGTTCGCGCCAACATTGCACAGATCATATGCTGTCAGTTGATTTGCGATTCCCCTAAACTCCGTGCCTGAATGAATTTTATGATTTGAGAAAAGTTTTCGAGGGAAGTGTCAACCATTTTTCAATGTCCCCCTGCAGTTGGTGACTGGTACGACCGCTTGTTTGTGATAAATGATCCCGGAAGATTCAGAAGACATTTCTGTTAAAATGCTTTAAAAAATTTTCAGAAATAAATCCACTTGTTCTTTTTTTAAAAATTATGCATATTTTTCATTTACCTAGGTAGTCAAAACTTCAAATTTTTAATACAGTTTTTCGAAGCTCTGTCTCTATGGAAAGTAAAAAAAAGTGACTTACACATGAAGCATTTTAAACTGTAAATATAATCCCCCCTCGAAGAATTATCTGGGTTTTAAAACAGACAAAGAACTTAAATATTTTAAAAGTTATTATTATTTTCCTTCCCAATGCCCACCTGTGTTAACATCCGTCAATTCAGGCATTTACAAGGCAATGCTGTTGACCTCTCTTTCAGGAGCACCATATTAGGTGGGCCAACATCACTCCCACAGTCAGGACAGATAGTACAGAGAAGGAAAG